CTCAATTTTTCCTCACACGACCTACCTACCACTACTCCTACGGGGAAACCCGTAGCATACCAGAGCCGTGTTTTTACGGCCCCTCGAGCCTGCAGGATGCCGGCCAGGGGACGGCCGGTAGCACCAGGGATAAAGCGGACCAATCCCCCGTGCCTCCCCTCAGGCCCCTCCCCTACGAGCATAGCAGACTCTGCTTGATGCCGATCGGGGGAAGAGTTGATGGTGTTCTTTTTACTTTTTCTTTTTTTTTGGTGTTTTCTTCAAGCCGAGGGTGTTGTAGAGGCCAAGGACCAGACCCCCGGTGATTGCTGGGAGAGGCAGCCAACGGTTGTCCTGACAGGATAGGCCATCTAAACTACCCATCCCCACATTAATGCTCCCAGCGCACACCCTGTCCCCACTACCCTGCCTCAGGGCATACTCACACGGGGACCAAAAGTCTAAAAAATTGGAGGCATTTGGTTAGGGTTTTTGAGGCATTTGGTCCCCGTGTGACCACATGGTCGGACTTCATCCAGAAAGGACGAAGTAGCAACGCTGACACTTTGCACTCAGGGCAAGTGCGCCCCATCACACTCGCAAGGACCAAACGAAAAGATGGAATTTGTTTGTTTGTTTTCACACCAGTATGAGGCGTGGGCCTTCTGTACAAAGCAAACGTTTCTGGTCGCATTTCCAGTTGTTTGGCCGGCTGTCTTCTTCGTCTTAAAAAAAAAAAAAAAACGAAAGGTAATTTGAGACCACCTCTGGAGGTGGTCTCAAAAAGGGTCCTCCTGCGCCCCCGCAGGCTGCTGACAAAAGGGTCACCGTTTGAGGCATTTGGCTACCGGGCCTCTCAAGTGTGACTGGAGAACTGACTCAAATTTTGGGATTTAGGGTCTTTTGGTCCTCGTGTGAGTATGCCCTCAGTGTGACCAGCACTCAGGACCATCACCTTCCAGTATCGAGGGCACCTTGGAGCAAACAGCAGTGCCGTGGCGGACTTACCTACCGCCATAGCTGGGACTCCGAGCGCGACCTGCACAAGACCACGACGACACGGCGGTCATTATAGGGCGGCAGTTACCTGTAGCCTGTAGGTGAGACAAGCAGGAGGAAAAAGTCTTCTTCTTCTTCTTTGTCTCGCCCTCCATCTCATCTTCCTCCTTCCTCGTCCTCCTTCTTCTTCCTCTTCTTCTTCTTCAGAGAGAGAGAGAGAGAGAGAGAGAGAGAGAGAGAGAGAGAGAGAGAGAGAGAGAGAGAGATTACGGGCAGTTGTTACATCAGGCATAGTACCCAGGATCTGATCCGACATTTTTGCAGCACACTTTGATTGGACACTCCGCAAGGGACTATTTTTGGACTTCGCTATCGCAATCTTGGTCTTCTCCCTCGCCTCCATCTTCGTCTTGCCTCTCCCCCCATCTCTCATCCATGGTATCTCCCCCATTTGCGCATACAAGGAGGGACCTTTCTTCCATGTATATGGTCCCTCCTCCTTCTCTCACATGTGTGGTGTATGATAGGATGTAGCGTCAATCTCAGTTAGGCCAGGTCTTATCTTTGAGTTGTCCACCTCGCTACATTGTGTCATTTTGTATGTATCGGGATGTACATTGCTTGTAGATGCTTCACTGACACTGCATTGTCTATTTCAGTCTTTTTCATCACCTTGCAGTTCCTTGGCTCCATACATATTGCCCAATTGGGTATGTGTCATATGTTTCCGTCCTCCTGTTTCAACTTTATCTTCCCTCTCTCTCTCTCTCTAAGTATGCTAATCATGAATGTCTAAAAGTTTCGATAACTCCCATATCCCTTCCAGCTCTCGAGATTTTGTCCCGCTCGTCTCATCGAATTCAATCAGATCTCGCGAGGACGAGTATCGTTGAATTTAAGATACCTGCAAGCTCATGAGATCCTGCCTCACCCCTTTCTTTGCTTCTTGGTATACGACGGATTATGCGTAAGTGATCTCTTACATGTATGTATTGATTGAGTTGTCGCTTCAATAATGGGAATGAATTAAGAATCTGATATGATACATGGTCGCACCGATGTATGATGATCGCCCTTTTTATTAAATTAACTTGCATGATGTATAAAAGATAAAGCATAGTGTTGTGTTTGTTTATTCTTGTGATCGAATAACAGACTGATTAGACAAGCGCAATCCGTTTTGGTTATACCATGTGGACTGATTGCCCTGATCCGACTGGACGTCGACTTCCTGTGTCCTCACCATGCCCGTTGTCGAGCGCATCAGTATCACAGAGGTGACCCTCCTGGTCGCGTCATGCAAGATCTTAAAGGACTTGTCGCGCAGAGCATTTGCTGCTTCAGCCGAGTGCGTCATCCATACCTCTCGCAAACCCCTACGACTTGATACGGTCACACGATGTACAACTTTCCTCCACCTGTGGGAGCTGTCAACTTATCACCATCCCTTAGGTGGGTATATCCCCACCAAGCTACCATACCACATGCGGAGA